GTATCCCTGCTTGTCAACAATCAGTGACCGATTGGACTTACTTTCATTACCACAGATCAATATCTGAACAAATTTCCACAAATACTGCCAATAACCAATACATTTACTGTGCAGTTAAATAGTTTGTGTTGTGTTTAAATATGCCACAATAATACAGCATAACTTCATGCTGAATACTTCGATTGTGGGTTCTTGATTGTTTATTGTAGAAGACCTAAATTTATTGGGATTAGTACTACGCCGTTATATCATTTCAAATTTACAACAAAGTAACCAAAACAGTCCCAAAAACCAAAACCTCCTGATGATTATAACTATTACAAAAAAACTTGCGTTACTAAACGCCACATCTCTTCTCTCTCATGAATGCAACAACTGCGGCAGAATTAAACTCAATGAGCAAGAATGCCCGAACTTCGAACGTTCTATGTAGTGTCAATATTATTATGCAAACACTGGCATATGCACATCGCCAAGTAGTCTAACGACAACCACATTCGTCTTGCCTTAAACTAGGTTTTCCCCTCTGTTTTCACTTTTAAGGTAAAGGTGTTATTTTTTTAACTACCTAATTAAGGTTTAAGGCTACTCTTACTTATTAGGGATAAGGTATTACAGAATCTAGTGGCACTGACATCAAGCTTGAAAAAATCATATGTCTACACCAGAAATAATTTCTTTGAAAAGAATGACTGGAAATGAAATGGTATGTTTCATCAAGGAAGAATGTAGGTCTGTGCAAAGTGAGAATGATGACCTTCCAGCTCTCTGCAATACAACTCAGACCCACGATAAACTAAAATCACCTCTGGTGTCATTAATGCTAGCATTTTTACCAAGCTTTTAAATACGTAATACTTGGCTAACAGATTTCTAATGACCATTACTTTAATAATATGTAAGTAACCAAACCCCTTTAACTTACTTATATGTATTATATCTATTATCGCAGGTCGCTTGTAGCAAGTTTTTAAATCTTAGAATACATCACAAACAAAGTCGACAATGTGTATATTCAGTCTCTGAAACAGACTCTGTAAGGAGGAGAATCTATGACAAGTATAGAAACAAATGGAAGGGTGATAAAAAGAACTCAATATAGGGAAAAGCACGGGTTAAGACAAATGTTATTCATTATTATATTTAGATGAAAGTGCTTAAGAGTTTGATTGTGCCACAGGTATTGTAGTTTGACAACACCTTCCATAATTAAATCGTGCGCACCCAGTGAAATAAAAAGGGAGAAACAAGGAGGTTGGAAGACATATTTGATAGCTTATCAATGTATCGATAAGTGACTGATTTAAACTGGCTAGTGGTCGCAGGAGAAGTTGAGCACGATGTTTCCACTCGTTATCTGGTGGAGATGCATGACCGAGCGCCTTCAGCTAAGTGGGCCCATTAAAACTAATATGGCCAGCATCCAATGTCGAATACTTAAAGAACTATTGATTTTGGTGATTTACTTACCGCTACAAGTTCTATCTATATACCGGTGGCTAATTGTTCGAATGTATAGACTTGTAAAAATGTTATTAAAAAATACAGTCACGCAGAATCTTACTACAGTAGACGTAATTTGATGAGCTCTAAATCTCGAGATAGATCTTGCGTCAGGGGATTTGCCAGTGGCCCATCTTAATCATTATTTTGTCACTGGTGTTTTCTCTTCCCTGTAGGTCAAGTCTAGAAACCAAATGGTTCAACTTATTCAACATCACTCTTTTAGAAACTAAACTGAGTACTTTAAGGCATATCAGGTCCTTTTGAGTTCAAAAGAAGTCTTAACGTGTTTTGAAATACAAATAAATTTGATGTCTGTGATGAAAAACTATACAAGCAAACTCAATGATAATTTTACAGAAGTAACAGACTGCCTACTCGTGATAATTAGAACTATTTGAATTAATGTGCCAACTGAGAATTCCTGAATGAACTGTTAAATTCGGAGTTCGTAATCAGCAGGTAGTCGGGTAAGAATGAATCATCAGTCAATAAAAATACCATAACCACCACAGCTAAAGTTCATATCCAGATTCTCGTAAACTGTTGTTTGTATTCTCCTAAGTTCCATCATATTTCTGTCCGGCTGTGTATTAGGTTTGGACTCCGTATGGTCTAGAATGTACTAATTAGTATTAGAATTGACAATGGAAGTTGGAATGGACTGACCTGGTTCCTTGTAATATATTCGGTTCTTGTGACTGGCTTCAGTATGAACCAATAATTTGTCAACCTTTTTTGTAGCAGACCTTGAAAGATTGTCGGAAATGAGCTCCTCGATAATATATAACATCGACAGATTGTAAAAGTTCCATATTTAAACGGACATTATTTAGGTTAGGCAATTTCTCTATTGTCTCCTTTTCGTATGGTGTGCTAATTCTGCACTGAAAAACTATCTACTCTCTTCTCCGTGTCTTTTAATTTTGCAGCAGTAGCAGAAATGATGTTTGTTTCCAAGTTCTTAACATTTATTGCTTGTGTATCAGGATGAGAGAGCTTCGGAGTTGTACACAAATTTTCTCACTTTGATTCTCTAGCTAACAAGTTATCAAGCATTTCATCGCAACCGTCTTAAGTGGTCAACAAGAAAAATTGTCGATGAAACATTCTTATCTTTTCAAGACTCGAGATAAGTGGTCGAAAATCGGTGATAAGGAATTCACAATTTGTATTTAATGATTTATCATCGCGAATCAGCAAAATAAAGCAGTCAGGATTAGAAATTTTATGATCAGTAATACTCAAAATAGAAAAGTGACTAGGTTTAATTATAGCATCAAAGTTTAATAACTTAAACGTCCCTACTGAAATTGTGAATTTGATACTGTCAGTGTCAACAATAAAATTGTAAAAAAACACCACTGGACAGATATAATCGTTTCTAAATATGAAGCAAATTACTCAAAGTTATTAATAAGGATGGTTTATGTTTATCAAAATCACACAAATTAGTAGGATCTGAATAAAAAGACTTAGTATTACTTGCAGCGAAATGAATAATAATTTTACAAACTGACTGAATGTGTCCTATTTTACCACACCTAAAGCATATAGCATGACAAAAGATACTATAATTATGTAAGTGGGTTTTACCATAGGTTAAGTATTTACTATACTTGTGCTCAATTCTGTGACCGGCTTCCAAATCCTCAATAAATTGTTATCCATTTTTCACGCGAATGAGGATTATCATTAATTAGACGCCTACTCACATGACCTTGAATACCCATTCAATTTGGATAACCAAGTAATGTAGTGAAATTCTTTATGTCCTGGAAGTCAATTTCATGCACTGCCTCGTTATTAATTCACGTGGTTCTAGAATGCTGGAAGGGACACTTCGTCAGTTACACGAGCTCTCTTTCCAGATTTGGTATGCGAATCCCTGCAATCGATCGATCACGCAGCTGGACATGAAGTTGATCACCAAAATGACACTTAGCAGCTTGTTTCTGCAATTCAAGGATAAATTCTCTAACCTTTTGATTATTTTAATGCATCGTTTATAGAATTAAGCTCTCTCACAACATTCAAAATCTAGTACAGTTTACACGATTTAGTGGTAGCTCTTTGAAAGTTGCGTAATGTTGTGAAGCAGGTTCATTTCGGAATGCCAAATCTTTTAGTAAGCTGTAGACATCCTTTCCAAAGAATGCAAGGAAAAGAGCCACAATTTTTATCTTCCTTAACATCTTTCTCGGTCATACCCCAGATTTCAAATCTTTTCATGTATTGTTCGAAAGCTTCATAATTTGAATGTATATCTAACTGCCCAAACACAGGCTCCATCGCTATGCCAGTTAGATTATTAGAAATATTCGAATTAATGCATTAATTAGGAATTCCCGAAATAGCGCAATTTAAGCCAAGTAAAACTAGGTGAGCATAAACGAACGTATCACATTTGAAATTCGTAATAAGCGCGTAATTAAATAAAAAGAAAACAGCAGTTACTACAAGTGCCACACTACTTTAGTTTTATCTTTTTAAAGGTAACACTAATTTGCCTTTCCTACATGCCATGTCTCGCAGGAAAATTTGGATGTTTACGATTCTCCTTAGTTTTGTTGTTTGCTGGTCATCTGCAAAGAATGTTAAAGCTTAAGCATTGCACCTGAAATAGGCATATTACTTTATACATTACTGTGAACCAGCGTAAATCTCAAATGTTTTTACTCCATAGACGCTAGTAGTCATCAGCTGCCGATCACCATGTTACCCAATGTTGCAGTAGGTGCCAACTTTTGGCAGTTATTAAGCTGTCGAATTGGAGTTCCTTACGTTTTTTGGTTCTGGATGAAGACATTCATGATCTTATAGTATGTCATACTCAGAATTAGAACACATGACGAAATATTTTCTAGATCCAAAGCCCCTAGATGTTTCACCAAAAAGCTCAAAATTCTTTCATCAGTAGCAAAGATTTTCGAAAATAAAAGCATATAAGTCGACAGTAGAGAATATAATCACTCTAGAAATACAGTCAAGTTTTGAAAACCCTTATAACGCCATATAGTCAGAGTAGTAATCATTGGATTTCATTAAAAGTACACACGTCTTTAATGTTAAAATATGAAAGAAATATTGACCTTTCCTAATCATTATTTTGATAATTGAGGACTTGATATAGATTTCGTAAATGGGATTCACAATGCTTGAGCAGCTTATATTTATTCCTTGATCGTTAAGTAGTGACAGTAAAAATAGACAACTAGGGAGTTATACAGTGATCCGTACGTCAGTCAAAAATATGAAAAACGTTTCACCATAACACATCATCAAAATATATGGAGATGAAAATATATCTCTATATACCATTATCAAACTAAAATTGTTCAAAATTTCTGCTTGAATTGAAGTCAAGTGGCCATTCAAGAATGATATTATTCGTTTCAACAAAGAATTTACTTGACTTTTATTAGTTAGCTGGTCGTTTTAACAGATAGTAACTAGTGAACCTTTAACAGGCCGTAGTTACTAAATTCGTCTCTGTGTATGAATTAAACCATCCTAATACGGTTTAAAAATTAAGAATCTTTCAGCAGTTTTATTGTTTTAATTTATCTCCTAGTGAGTAAAAATATTTTGATCTGAACTTATCTCCAGAATACACACAACTAAAAATAACCATGTACTAACTGGAGACTATCTTCGAGCTGGATTGTCGGTCTTCTGGTGAAAAGTCCTAACTAATGAAGTTCAACTATGAAAAGAATAATAACAGTCGCTTTGTTTTAACAAATGATTAGAGATGAAAATATTGACTATTATGTATCAACTCAATGTATTATTTCTATCTTGCTTACTGTGAGACTTGTACTACTCCAACGAAGCCTGAGGTGAGAAAACAGCAGTCCTATGTTTCCTGTTTTTCTATGACTTTAAAATTAATATCAGTTTATGAATAAATTATCTTTAAATATAAAAACCCTGGTACGATATGATTATCTATAAAATTATCTATAATTTACAATGAATATTTTAATAATTGAAATACTTAACTTATCTTACATTATATTCGTATGACTTCAAGACTGTTTTTTATAGTTTGGAAATGTCATAGACGTTTAATATATTTGATTTAATCATAGTAATTATATCTAGTTGATATACAAGAACTCTCGTCTAAATTAGAGCGAATAGTTTCACAGTATTTGAGCGCCGAGTTGATGTAAGATATTAAATAGGATTTTACAAATATATATTGTTCCTATTTAATGTCTTATACATAGTTGAGATCATCCACGATCCCGCCTTGCGAGCGAGATTCGAACCCAGGACCTACCAGTCTTGTGCCACAACATTTAACCAATCAACTATTAAAATACTGAAATCTCCACAAAACTCCTTCTAATTACAATGAATACTAAAAGCTTTGATGATTTCCAAGTGAAATATTACAATTTGAAGAACTTAAATTTTAAAATCACAAGATAAACAGAAACACAAAAGTAAGTGACACATATCTAAAGTCTTTAAAAAAAAAGTCATGTGTCTATCACTAACTACTTACTTTTAACTGATTTTTTTTATCAAATAATGATCAATATTATTGATATACACTCCCTAATATAAAAAGAATATATATATATATATATATATATATATATATATATATATGATTTCGATTTATGATCCAATCATAGTTTAATGAATTGTACTAAAATCAATATTGTATCTGTTGCAACGATACTAATAATAAGACTCTTTCATAACTGACAAATTAAAAATTAAGATTTCATTTTAATTGTTTAATCATTATTTTTTTTATTTTTTTTTTATTTATGGTTGTCAAGATAAACCAAAAATTCAAATTTTTTAAAAAAACAAAAACAAAATAAGAGATATCAGTTTAACGATTTTTTTTTCTCAGAATGAAAAAAAAATGATTCAATTGTTACCAACACATAACTTATCAAAAGAATTATTTACCGATATTGATCCATATCAAGATAATAACTTTTCATCGATTTTATTTATACGACCTAATGGGAATAAACATTATTTACCAGTGAAATATCCTAATACAATATTGAAATGGTATGAAAATATATTAATACATTTAGAAAAGAATAAATTACTACAATGGACATTAATAACTATATCAGATTATGAAGAATGTATAGGTTTGAAATTAATACAATGGAATAATGAATTAATGACATTACTTAAACATATAGCACCAATGTTACAACAGATTGATTTATCTTATTTAAGATTAAATGAGATCCCAATCGATTTGTTGCTACGATTTTCTACACGTTTATTTTCATTAAATCTTAGTTATAATCAAATTGAAATGAATATTTTTCATGAATTGAAGTCGGTATATTTATGGTATAAAAAACAGAAACATACAGAAAATACAATCAAACAAGATGTTTGTTGTTGGATTCAAACTATCAACGAAATATACTTAGATCATAATAAACTTGAAGATCAATTTCCTTATGAACTATCTAATTATTTGGTTGGATTAAGAAGATTATATATACATAATAATGGAATAACTAGTTTAAAAGGTTTAAATGGTCTTACACAATTACAAGTGTTAAGAGCTGATTTTAATAAAATCACTAGTTTACATGATCATTTTTTTACATTAAAAAAAATTGAATATTTATATCTTTCACATAATTGTATTACACAACCAATATCGGGGATACGTTTAAAGTATTTAAATCATTTGAAAGTTATTGATTTATCATATAATGGTTTATTTTTTTTACCTACTGTTATATTCAGTTTACCATGTTTACAAATATTAAAACTTGATCATAACAACATAAGTAATTTGCCTACATTAAGATCTAATTCTAGAATTTCTAAAGAACCAATACAATTGATTGATCTTTCATATAATCAAATTAATGCAATATCTGATGGTTTACTTAGAATAACTAAACAATTAGATTTAAGTAAAAATAAATTACGAACATTTCCTGCTAGTTTACTTAAAATAATTGCAAATATAGCTCAATTGAAAAAAATAAAACCATCAGAAATTATTAAAGTTGATTTAAATGATAATCCAATTATATGGCCACCATATAATATTATTGAATGTGGAATAGATTCTATGATTCATTACTTTCAAGAATCAAGAACTGAATTGCAATCATATTATGGTATTAAAATTACATTATTAGGTGATATAAATTGTGGAAAATCTAGTTTAGCTATGAGTATAGTAGATAAACAAAATCGTATGACAGAAAATTTAGAAGAAACAACATATGGTATAGAATCTTATACTATACAATATGATGCCATTGAATTAATTCCTAAATTATATACCGATTCCGAAGAAAATAATAATAATAATAATAATGAAACAATATTAAAAAAACAAACTACACGTCCAACTACTATAACATTATGGGATTGTTCTGGTCATATAAATTATATACCATTAATTTCATTTTTTACATCATTATCAACCATTTTTATTATTGTAGTGGATATAACAAAATTAGATCCAACTATATCAATCGATAATAATAATAATAATAGTAATAATAATAATAATAATATAAAAAATTCAAAAAATTATTTCTATCAAACTATTGGTATCTGGTTAGATTTAATATTATATCGTTTAAATTATTTAAAAATTATTGTCATAGTAACAAAATGTGATTTAATTCAATCAAAAATTGAATTAAATGAAAGAATTAATCAATTATATAAACAAATTATTAATTATATAAAAATTAAAAAATTTTGGTTTAAAAATCAAATTGAACATATTGAATCATCAATTAATATAACACAATCAATAACATATTATTATGAACAATTAAATAATATATATAATACATTATATACATTTATATATCCTAATATTAATCAAATTTCATTATATAATAATAATAATAATGAAAATATAATTAATTTTAATCAATTATATTATAGTATATTTGATTTAGCTATAAAAACACCAACTTATATACCATTTTGTTTAAAACCATTACCCAATATATGGTTAGATATTGAATTATATTTAAATGATATAAAATATAGCTATAATACACATTTTAATAATAATAATGAAATGAATATAAATACAACGATACTACTTAAATCTTCTTTTTGTCATATCATACAAAATAAATTTAATTTAAATTTACATAATTTAAAACAACTTTTAACCTATTTAAATAATACAGGGAAAATATTAATTTTAGATTCATATATCCCATTAAATAATAATAATCATAATAATAATAATGAAGATAATTCATTGAATGATCCAATTACATTATCATCATCATTTTTGATTAGACCTAATCCAAAATTCTATATTATAATTGATCCAAATTTATTTATTGAATCATTTAAATATTTATTAAATCCTAATTTATATTATATAATTGATTATATCAAAAATAAAAAAATTAATTTTTCTGAAAAATTTTATTTATCAAAAATATTTTTAAAAAATTTTATAAAAAATTTTAAAAAAATAAAAAAATCTGATTCAATTAATAGTTTAATAAATTATTGTAATGAATTAAAATATGGTACAGGTATATTAAGTGCATATTTATGGATAACATTAGTAGAATATAATAATTTATATATAATTAAAAATAATATTGAAATAGGTAAATCATATGTGGAAATATTATGGAGATGGTTAGAACTTGCATATCCAGTACCTGAACCAGATTTATTTAAAAATTTTGATACACAAATTAATGTATCATTAGATGAATTAAATTCTTCAACATGGAAATTCAAGTATGTAAGTGAATCTTTATCATTATCATTTATGTTTATGTTATTATTCTACTATAATGATAATAAACTATCCTATGATTAGTATCTATGATAATAATATCAAAATTCTTAGATAATGACATTAAATAGGAATAATATATTTGTTAAATTTCAGCGAATGAATTTGAAGTAAATCCAACGTTTCGCCTGGCAATCTGTTCCAAGCTTTTTCAAGGAATTATAATCAAACATCAAAATTATCGAATATAAATAGGTACATGGTTCTTTGGTTCATTGTAAACTGAATAGGTCATTCAATCAACGTTAAAAATGTTTAAACTAGGTATATGTATTAGTGTATTAGAGACTTGTGATGTGAAATGATAAGTGTGTTAAGATATCGTATTGTATAGATACCATAAGTGGTGAGACGAAAAATTTCATTCACCATATATTGACTCCTGTTGGTGAATTTTGAGGAAAATATACAATTTTTACTATATGATATGAATCATATATGTCATAGCATGTATAAAACGAAGATAAATAAACAAAATAAAAATAAGTGTAATTCGAAGAAGAAGAAGAAGAAGGAGAAGGAGAATGTAATTTGAAACTGAATACTTGTGTTATTTTTAAGATTCCAAATAATTGTTTAACTAATTCAGATAAGACAACTGATTAGAATCACTGAATGTAATTGTTGTCACTTAGATAATACGAAATAGATAAAGCGAAAAGGATTTCAGTTTTATTTACTTATTAATGATTAGCTGCCATGGTACAGCTAATTGTATTCCATCCCTTCTATGAATAATGTTTGGTTTAGCACATATATATAGGGCTTCAGCTGTTTGTCTTTCTTTGTAGGAATTGAATGCTTTTTGAAGGATTTTTGTGCCAACGAAATCAATTGTATGACCCGATTCTATCCAGTGTAATGCTATCGCTGATTTGTTCTCAAGTTTCCTTACATCATCTGAGGACTTAGGAATATACTTTAAGCATTTTTTGTGTTCCTTCATCCTCACACTCAGTTGCCTTATCATAGATAATGAATTCAAATTATTCTAAAATATTCAAATATTCAATATATGGTGGTTGTCTGTGGAGATTTTTTAAGCAATTTTTTATATACAGTTGAAATCATGAGTCAGTTGAAGCCAAATCACCATGAAAAACCTGGAAGCACTGGACGGCCGTTTTGTCCTATTGTGAGACTCTTCACCAATGCATATCTACGATCCCGCCTCGCGAGATTCCAACCCAGGACCTATCAGTCTCAACCGCGAGCACTGAGCAGACCGGCATCTAACGGTGTTAATGTCTAACTTCAACCAATCCACGAAATTGAGCAACCATTCACCAATATGTCCAGTGAGTTGATATCTCCCAACAGACCTGATTGAACTCCACTGGTTACTGTTTCTCACACGAAATCCAGGAAATACCTCATGGAGCCAGTCACTAGTGAGCACATGATAAGGGAGTTGCTGAGGAGTCCCACAATAGAACGTAACGGCCGTCCAGTGCTTCCAGGTTTTCTATGGTGGTCTAGCTTTAATTGACTCATGATTTCAACTATATATTCAATATATTTTAGAAACATTTTTTAATAACTAAACTTTCCGAAAGTTTACAGTCAAATATTCTTATTGTTTTTGATCTGATATCAACATAAAACTATATAACACTAACCTAATTTGTAAATTCGTCAAAAAAATATGTAGCGATGGTGATAATTTTTTTTCAAAAATTTTATAATTCATTTAAAATTCAGTTACTAACATAAACACAGTTCCGAGTCTTTTCACATATTCAATATGTAAATATAAAGTGAGTTCATTGTTTGTTTTTGTTTGTTTTTTTTTGTTTTTTTTTGAATTTTAAAACACTGTCTAAAATAATAAAAACTTATTAGTTGGCTTATAAGAAAATTGTATAAATCACTAATGTTATGATGTCAACAAATATTGTAAACATAGTCAGTTAGGAATCGGTAATTATTTACCTGGCTTAGGACAAGAGTTGTATTTATTTACATAATAGAAAGTAGGTATTCACAAAATAATGACAGACTGAGAATATATTTCTTTAAAGGATCATATTTTTGTACATAGTATAGAAAAATAAATAGAGCAATAATATTCACCTTTTAGTAGGTTCTACACAGATATTTTGTATAATCTAAATCAATCATGGATCAGAAAAGAAAATGATTATCTCAGTAAAGTAGTATATTTCTTCTGAGGATAGGATGGGATTATTTATCTAAATAAACATGTGTTTGAACAACAATTTCATATACATTGCTGATTGATATAAAGGGCGATGATACTTTATTCCATACTATTAAGAAGTATGGACCATCTAGTTCAATACTAATTTGAATTCAATAAATGTATACAATAAAAAAAAATAAATTAAGGTGTAACGCACAATTGTTATGTTTGATAATGTTCTGTTTTGAAAAAGAACTGATTCTTGAATCCCATTAAGACTTATGTGATCGTGCAATTTATCATGAAATCGATTTACTCACTTACAATGTCATGGACTATTAACCTTCGATTCTATTAATGACAGTGACTAATGACTAATACCTTAACACTTATAGGTTTACAAGCCCCTTCTAATCCAGTGACTAATCAAAAGGCGAAGTTATCCAGAGAATATCTTCTCTACTTTATTCTATTCATTCATGACTCTAAGCTTATTTGATAACGTAGATTAAATATCTGACTGTACAGGAATAAAAATAAGAAATTGTAATGTGTGTATAACTTAGTCGTAAGTGGTACAAAAACTGAGTAAAAAAGAAAATACTTAATCAATGAGAAACCTGGAACAGTAAGAGAAATAAGCGGTATTTTCTGGATCAAACAAAAACTTTCAAATAGAGCTATGTAAAAATACAATATTCCAAACTTCTAATTATTACACAGTAAAAATACGAAGAATAATTTCATGCTAGTTAACGCTAGAAGTTCAACTTTGTTCAGATCCTCTTTGATAATGACAAGTAAACTATTGATGATTTTTGGATACAATAACAATTTCATTGTCGATGTGTTATGCTTTCATTAGTATCTTTTTAGAAAAGTTGAAGACAAGGCGTTTAAGAAATATAGTTTACAAATCAAATTTGTGAGGTCAATTAAATGGTAGTAATAATAATAATAGTAAAATTGTGATAGATTCGTGACATTCCATAGAGTAGAAATTCGAATCTCTGACGTTTCGCAACTAAATGTTAGCCACTTCTTTATAGCAAATAAATTAATAACCGGATCAAATTAATACGAATTTAAATAGAAACAAGGGAGAACATTTGGTTTAATGAAAATGAAAATAAATCTGATATTAAGCAGACATCTTGAGTAATTATTCATCTTCTGACAGTTTCGTAGACAAAATCGATTGCTACAAAGGCTGCAGCTCTCGATAACAGTAGAGAGTGAATACTCTTTATTTGATCTTCCATCAAACGAAGGGACCATGGGCTTGGCTGAAGAACAATGCGCAGTAAATCATGGCTATGAGTCAATGATCATCAGTTTGCGGTAAACAATCCATACACCATAAACACATTAGCGGACCACCGCCATCTACAACCAATAGCTTGCCTAAATTATTATATACAAGACATTTGGAGAAGCATACTTTCGTATTGATCATGATGTGTTAAGCCGTTGAATACACCCTTTCATTCTGGATACATATTTTATATGAAAACCATTCACTCTGCAATTTCCATCCTAGATAATTAAATTACAGAAAGCTTGATTCCCGTAGACTGCCAATTGTCTGGCTAACTCTTATTCTGTTGGAAATCCAATTCCAACAAATATCTCTCGAAACTTATTTTTCGCCTCGCTGTTCGGTATAGACATGTGAAACGACAAGACCGCGGCAATAAATTTGAGACGTGCTTCTCCTTTAAATTTGATAGTTTGTATTCATTTGTAAGCTGGCTTCCGATTAGACGATTAGAACTATGTTTCGATGGGTTTAAGGGTAAGGGTTACACCGAAATACAATGTCACACCCAGAAAAGTCGAATTTCCGGGGACAACTCATTCTCTATGAGACATCACTATGTGTGTTTGTGTATGTGTTGGTGGGTGTAATTAATGTGAAATTCATAATATGGGGTGAAACTGAAAGTTACGTATGCGTGTTAATTGTGTGAGGAATGAACACAACTAAGTGGCTATAAAAGATTGTGCACATTGTTGAATTTCATTGAAATCATCAACCGATCAATGTTAGAACTACTTTGAAAACCTGAAAGCACTGAACGACCGTTTCATCTTGGTTTGGGATTCCTCGGTAGTGCTCATCCATGATCTCGCACACCAGTTCCAAACACAGAACCTCCAGTCTCGCGCGAACGCTTAACCTATAGACCACTGAGTTGAAATCAAACGGCGTTAATGTATAACTTCAACAAATCCAAGATCTTGCGTGACCACCTTCTGCTGTCTTCGGTGAATGACTGACTCATATCCAACACGGTTGAACTCTACTGGTTGTCCGGATAAATGGTTCAGATTGAATGAACTATCAAACCTCCTTCTCAATCGAGGGAAGAGAGATTTGGCACGAAATGAATTGCTTCAGCTACTCACCTTTCTTTTTGATTTTGTGCTTAATTATATGACACGTACTACTGTTACTAATTTTATTTGCAAACATTCCAGTTTTACAAAAGCACTAATTCTTTTTGTATAACTTAAGTATTCCGCTAGACGAATCAAGATTTTTACAAGAAAACGCTCCAACACTAAACACATCATTTCTAAGGACGCTAGTTGTTTTATGGAAAGCTTTAGTTCCAAATATTTCCAGGATGCGTTACAATTCTTCTGTCGTACAGTAGCGGTAAGCTAAAAGTGGCAATAATCCAAGATATTTCATCCGAATTGTTAGTTATAGACAGATTAATGCGCTTTAATACGTTTCGATAATAATATTAACAATATGTGTCTATACATTTTTGAGATATCAAACGGTTCTGAAATGAAGAAACTAGTCTTTTTCTCAAGCGTCAACTGTGAAATGATAGTTTCATTTTTTACTGAAGTACAACAGGTCTGTCGATTTATTTCTTAAATATATGTATCCTATCCTAATCGGTCAGACAATGTTAATCTGTGTGTATTTTTTCACTTCATTTTTACTTTGTATTTTTACTCAGTTTCCATCTCCCAGAGAAATAGCTTTATCGTGTGGAATTATATCTAGTACGGAGAGTCTATCTCAGTCACCAGATAACCAATCGGATACAGAGGATAGTGCAAACTCAGATACGCTCCAGTCTCCAACTAATGACCAGATCCAGTCTTTACTGTGTCCAGAACGATTACCTGCTTTGTGCTTTCCCTGCCTTATCCCTACATCGTTTTGCAGCCCAACAGATGAAATGAGTAATGACCTTTGGAAAACAGCTTGTGAAACCGGACCAAGACCAATCATATTTGTGTATCGATTTTCTTATGGTTTACCTCAAGAACTATTTGATAAGGCTACAGTACGGTTGAATTGGCCCGAACTATTCAAAGTAAGCTCTCTTGTTATTTTTTAAAAAACATTATTTCTCCGTACTTCTAATATGATAAGATACTGAAGAGAAATCTGAGTCCTCTCTGTGAATTGGAACTCAATCAGCATTCTGATCTCGCAATATCGTTATAGCCTAATCGATATCTTGATATTAAAGGGTTAATTGTCACATTTTATTTGCTTCATACTCAACTGTTTGTCCTTCAGTATCGTTAATTAGCATTTTTTTCTAACTCACGAGACTATTTTAACTAACCTGTACTTTTTACACTTCCTAATTATTAGCTGTGATGCACACTTACTTCATAAGTTGACCCATGATAAATTTTTTTCAAGACTGGTCAATAAAACTTCACTGCTAAATTTTCATTCGCCTGAAATTAAATTATTCAGACAACAGAGAAAGATCTGTTATATTATTGCATCCAGTAAGATGACTTTGTAGATGTTATAATTTCTCTTATTAAGACCCAGATACTCTTATTGCTTAGTATTCTTGGACAAAACTTCACTCGACAAGTCTCCAAACACTGTTGGACAGGAACGAAATTATATTCCAAATAACAAGGGTAGATGACAGTAGGAATCGCAGTAAGAAAAACGTTAGTATATTTATAGTTTTTGAATGAGGAAATTCTAGAGTCTTCTCCAAGTATCCTCGGATTGGTTAGGAGATATCTAATCAGCGTGCCCCGTCACAATCCTACACGGATCATGCTTTAATCCAAATTATCACCCACTAACAGTAGACATGATCAACTTGAAGTTAGTTTTTATCGGGTGAGTATTTACTGAATACCAGGAAGCACTTAACTATAGTCATTTGTGTGCACTAGTGACGTCAGACAGGTCCAACTCCATCACGCTTTTATCCCATTGTGTCGCATATTCATTGTGCAATTGCCTTAACATTGGTTCTATCGATAAAACACGAACTAATCAGCTGAGAACTTGTGCATTCAACGGTTTTTAAGATTAGTAACCCAATCACACGGGGTTAAGACGAGAGAAAAAAAAATTATTTTAAAAACTCAACAAAAAGCTGAATATGTTTAGTCTGTTAAGACGTTTGATGATTAAAATCAGGTTTGTACCTGGTGGTGACAGTCCAGATACTTAGACTGATATGCATCTTAATGAAGAAACTTCGTTTTACCAGTCGAGTTTTAGTAAAAACAATTATTCTTAGTCACTCTATTTTGATCGCACACCAAAAGTATAATTGATAAACTTCATCTGTCATACTAACTACTTTAAATATATTTTCCTCAACAAGAAAATTAACTGTTTACTACTATTCATTTGATTCGATACTACCATGTGAAAGGACTTTTTCATAAATGGTATGAAAAGCACTGAAGGTTTTTTTTAAAGCACATTGTCTGTATAATGAAGGAAAAGTCTCGCATTTCAATAGTCAGGATGAGCGATACTCGTAACTGGACAGGTACTGAATTTATTTATTGTATTAGGGATGACATATAACCTGTATAAGTTGTCTTTTTTGTAGTATTTCTATAATAATAAAGTTATTATAGCAATAATCATTGCTGAATTTTGATTTATATTCTTTTTTTAAAGTTTCGATATACAGCGCATTGGAAGACAGGAGTGCAAATGTTTAACAGTGTAAATCGGATAGTACTCAGATTTCTACTCATAAAGTCAGACAATGAAGACAGTTTAATCAAGTTTGAATTTCGTGCTCTACCAGTAACAACCACAAATTCAGATGACAATGAAATAAGAATTGAAAATAACGATACAGCAGCTAATATAGATGAGGAAAACAATGAAAGGAGCACTTTAGATGAAAATACAACGTTTAATGCTGGTAAATCACTGAAAGCGAGCAATGATAAGCATCAGAAACATAAACAGAAGCCTAAATGGCATAAATGGCCTGTCTCAGAGGAAAATCTTTGGAATCTTATGCTGCCTATATTGAAGGAATTCGATTCCATATTATTAGCTTACAAAGGTGAGGATTATATTTTGATCAGTGTGAAGATATTTATTGTTTTAAGCAAAGTCAATTTTCAAATTAGTTAAATAATTAAGTCGATTATTTGCTGACAAAAATTAATAAACTTAATTTTAATTGAAAAGTTTATCAACAATGAAATACATACAGACAGCTACATCGTAGATTATATGTTCAAAGTTAATTATTGTCTCTTTTACGATACAATTGTGGTGTGGGTTACTTATATCCATATAAGCAGTCTATAACGATGGTCAGGCATAAAATGTATTTCAGTAGAAGATCGATAAGGAAAGAACGGAAACAGAACGCAGTTGGTAGGAAAATGCATGAACAATTAAATCTGAGACAATGGACTGATATTTGAAAAAGGAACAGTCAACTCTGAGACGATGGATTATAATTTTGCAAATTAACTATTTAATATATGGTTCTCAGATTTTCTGTAATATTCTGTAATATATTCTGTAATTTTTTACTCAAATACAAATCAAATCACAGAAAATTGTAGATCTATGGAACAAGATATGTTACTTTTGAGTAATATTCCTAATGCTAACTAAGTCTGTAACTTATCTAAACACAGTTAAGAGTACGTATCAGGTTTTTAACAATTATGTTTACTTTCAGTGAAAATTAATGTCAAATATATCCTAGGAGTTTCTTATCTTATTATCGTCCAATAACGACATAGGTGAACGACGATATTTTGTCAGCCTTTGTCGAAAATAATTTACTTGATAACCATATTATGAGGTTTTGTGGACAACAGAAAAAAACCATTTGAATAACAGAGTAACTCATATACCCATTGAAATTATTTAAAACTTTCACTAATCCATGTTGCAAGTAAACAGTTTTCTTTAGTAAACTAGTCAAGAAGATTTAATTTGAATAACCTTATATTAATGTTTATATTGTGAGTGTACGTGTGTGAATTCACTGACCAGTGGTAATTTAGAAAATAATGTTTTTAAGATGTTTGCACTATCAACTATGACGATGATTTAACAAAAAAGAAGATCAATTAATATAAATAAATAATATATTTGTAATATCCCAATGAGTAGAAAAATTAGATTCCCTGGCGTTTCGTGACTCAGTGTAAGCCACTTCTTCAGAGGATTCATTGAATCTGTATTCAACGGTGTCAAAGTCTAACTTCAACCAATCCACGAAATTGCGCCACCGTCCACTATTGTCTTCAGTGATTGGATACGCACTGCTTAGGATCCCCATACTAGGACGAAACGTCCGTCCAGTGCTTTCGGATTTTCCATAGTGGTCATGCTTTTATTAACTAATGATTTGAATAATTAAATTACTATAATCTCCACAAAACCCCCTTTCTGATAACATCCCATTAATCTTGCTAGTAGAGTAGAATAGAGATACAGGTGTGTTTTTAAAGAGGTTTCGGAGGAGAGGTAACAATCGGTGTTGCAAATAAACGGTGGTAGTTATTTCATTTCACCTATAGATCGCGGTAAACTATTTCAGAGTCTTGAAAATTTATTTGCGAAGCAATTCATATTGAGATAATGCTTGGAACGAAACGGTTTCAATTTCGATAAAGAGTTACAAATGCTGTAACTGGGTGTTTCTGTATGTTCGATTGTATCAGTGGGTTTTAAAGATAGTTCATCTAGTATTTTGAAGAAAAGATTTAATTTAGTTCCAGTCTTTGCTTTCATAAGGGGTCAAACTCAAACTCAGTGTATCTGGCTTTGTGGTTTCAGATATAGTCATTCTCAAGAATGTAAATTGTAAATCGTCACTGGAAATATCCTAACTTAAGTTTATCCTTTATGTGAACAAAACTCAAAAGCAAACTTCAGTATTCTGGGATTGGTCGGATACATGAATTTTACATAAAAATAAGTGAGTTGATGTTCTGGAGGTTACGCGGAATACATTCCGAAAGTCATTGAGACTAAGAAGTTTGTGGTGACACCTATTCTGAGAAGAATATATTGTGGGAATATCTAAGTGATAAGCTTAACACTATGTTAAACCTAGACAATACTTTACCGTTTACAGTGAAGTCGAATTCAAAAAATGATCATCACAGAGAATCTATCCACATTAAGACGTAATCTCCAAATATCATTTCCAGCACCATAGGGAAACATAGATTGGCTAGATTCTGATACAGATTTGCATATAGTTTGACTCATAACGGGATTATATATCTATCATTTTCATCATTCATCTCCTGGTGTGGTGTCGATAATATTCGCAGGTCTATGCTGCAAGCGTGTTATGGAGTGTCCGAAATGTAATGAGTTAACTTTGGCAGGTGAATGGCTGACTCCAAGTGAAGTTCAAACAGTAAAATATCGTAAATGTCCAGCGTGTGCTCACAGGATACCCAGTTGTCTTATTGCACCACCAGAAACTGGATTTCAATGTGAGTATTGTGATTTTATCTACACTTAATTACAACTTTATATTTTTTTAAGTCGTTAATCAGACTTCATCTTTTCATTCATTTATTCTCAACATGAGCTAATACTATATTGACGTTAAATTAAAGATATTATACTTAGTTGCTAAATACATAAGTCTTAAAATGGAACATAACTCTTGAACTGAGATTTAAGTTTTTACATATTTTCATTCCAACTACGTAATAATACATCAGTCTACATTATTGTCTCCATCTCAATGTTCTTTTTGTTCACTATTCTAAGTGGTTAACACACTGACGAGTTTTCAGACGTTTTCCAAACCTTAGATCTGAAACTTTTTTCTGTGTAGTAATTAGTCAAAGTGATTTTGTTTAATGCAAACAATGCTCATTGAATATCATATAAACACTAAAATGCTCATACAATCTTGAATCAAACTCACTTAATGTATGCTATTACTTGATTTAAGGCTAAACGTAATTTCGACAAAAATTATTAGACAGTGATTCGACCTTATTTCTTGTTTTATCGATAAAAATTCAGTGTACATAAACTTAAAGAGACTCATTATCTCTTCTATACATTTGAATCTCTAATCTTCAAAATATTTAATTATTTCTTCAATTACAAGGGGGTTTTGTGGAGATTTCAGTATTTTCATAGTTGAAATCAGGAGTCGATTGAAGCTAGACCACCATGGAAAACGTGGAAGCACTGAACGGCCGTCTCGTCCTATTATGGGACTCCTCAGCAGTGCGCATCCACGATCCCGCACTCGCGAGATTCGAACTCAGGACCTACCAATCTCGAGCCAGAGCCCTTAACCGATAGACCACTGGCTCGAGATTGGTAGGTCCTGAGTTCGAATCTCGCGAGTGCGGGATCGTGGATGCGCACTGATGAAGAGTCCCATAATAGGACGAGACGGCCGTCCAGTGCTTCCAGGTTTTCGATGGTGGTCTAGCTTCAACTGACTCATGATCTTAACTATATAAAATTTCTTCAATCATTTAGGAAGATTATTTGACCTAACAAATTGTGGATACACCGAATTCCACGTTCAATAAACTATATTTCCAGAGAGCGATTGTTATAATCCAAATGTTGTCACTTTGAAAATTTTACATAGTAGTAGAGTTTACTCGTACAAATAATATTTTTGACTTTCACTTTATGAGTTTGTGAACTTTGTTAAACGTTGTCCAGATCACGGACCAACCTAAACTAGGCAACCATCAAAAACCATGAAACGTGAGACAACTGTTTCGTCTTATTATGACAATCTTCAACAGTGTCCACATACGCCTTCATCGTGGATAGAACATGCGAACTTCAGGTTTGATGCCGAACGGTTTCCACTGTTTTTATTCTGAAATTGAGTGTTCATTGAAAAGTATGTTTTCAGAAAATTAAAAGTTTCAACAAACGAAAGGAAAAATGTTATGAATTAATATTTCTTGACTAAGTAAAGAAGACTGTCACATTGTTTTGCAAATTTAGCACAGTGGTTAACGTTTATGATTATAAAACAACCTTATCTTGGACTACTAAAATAGTACTCTGTATATTTGTATGAAATAAACAGGATCTTAAGCTTATTTTCAGATGTTTATAAAATCATTTGAGTTTAACAAGACAAAAAACAGAGATGCAAAAACTTGGCTTAGGAAATCTTCAAGAATAACCTTTTTTGTCTGCTTAGCAACTCGCGTGAACGAGTGATTAAAAGATAAATTGTCTCTTTTGGGTACATTACACATTTATCAGTTTATTAGCTATTTTAAAGCAGCTTACGTGACCAGCAAAATGTATTTCCTTCCTAAACAAATTTAAGAGTTGTAGGCCATCAACGTTGATGATCTATGTCGAATAATTGGGGACCTACTCGAGTTAGACGGGAATGGTGTAACGAATAAGCTAACTTCGAAGTCACACCTCGCGATCAGCACCTTACGTGGATTGCCCCATCGACGTATCAAAGAACCATGGATGCTCTGAAGATTGTACAACACAAAAGACGTTATAAAAGGAATATATTAGTTAAAGTAGACACAAGCGAAAGTAGAACCACTGTTGCATGGGCCAGTCCATGGTGTATGATTAACTGATGCGCGCTGATTGTCCTTGACCTTGATGGGGATTGATGGTCTGTTCGATATTTAGTGACCCAACTCTCGGATGATTTGGCTAGGGTTCAGTGACATTTCACTGGCCCTACAGAGTAATATGTTTCCTGTTCATGAAAAGTAGAATACTAATCGATTACCAGGTCGACTATTAAACAACCCACCAATTATAATGCTCACTTTCCGCATTCATTTTAAAGTATGAATTATAAAGAGAACTTCTTTCTTTCAACATTTCATTTATACTATTTTCAGATAAACGTAAAATAAAATCAGAAAAGAAATCTAGAAAATGTAACAAATCACGTAAATAACATGGACAACCGTTTACTGTTTATCTTTACTTTGAGTATCATAGGAAAATCTGACAATATAATGACAATATTTTTTTTGTTGCTTTGTACAGTAAAAATTATCGTGAATATCATTTACTTAAATAAAATTAAGTAGTATTGTTGTTTATGCGGTTGTGCGGTTGTGGCAATTATAAAAATTTTAAGCATAATGTCTTTTGTACAAATTTTTGCCAAGTTTTAAAAAAAAAATTAGTATCAAACGAATTGAAAGTTAGAAGAAATTCAACATTTCACCAGTGAAAGAAATTTGACCAGGTGAAACTAAGTGCTCCTTGTATTTTACTGATAATCTGGTACAGTGCTTTTAAATAAATCATTCGAATCAGAATTTTCGCTTCTTATGAAACTGTTCACACTTATCCAACAAAATATAGTACATATGGATAGTGGCTAGAAGTGGAATCCAGGACGCGCGTTTCGTCCTATTTGGAACTCGTCAGCTGGATCTACCTGCATTTCAGAGTTGATGTTTATTCTGGGACTCGAACCCAGTACCGTTCGCTTCAAATGCCATCGCGTTATTCACTCGGCCACTGAGTCCTGATAGCCACTTGCTTGTGCGATGGGGTGAAGTTTAAATTCACTTGGTATTGTTTGTTTGAATTTTCCCATCGATGTGTTAGGACTGCAACTGGTCAGTCTCTAATTGGCACAGTATGCACATATGTGTTAATAACTTTTGATGACAAAGTTGAAACCACTCTTCCGTTTAAAAGTTTAAATCTATGTAGTATCAATCCCCAAGATTTTGACAAATACAATTTACGTTTAGAAAAAAGTATCACTGGATTTGCGCTCGATAAATGATGGTTTTACACTTACAGCTAGAAACATAGGTGCTCGTGGTAGAATGGCATATTACAAACCATAGATTTCCCTGGCAGAGCCTACACTAGGCATCGTATTTTAAGCGTATAAATTTTAGTCTATTGTGAATTCCTTGTGTAACTCGTAAGAACCATAAAGGCTATGACAACTAATGTTGCAATCAAAGACTGAAAGTTGTTTTTAGACTATCGCTTTTAAATCAATAATATAGTGTGGTCAATTACCTTTACTCAAAGTTCACAGCAAGAACTGGATCGATAAACTGCTAGGATCCGACATAAAAATCTAAACTTTATAAAACAACAATTGGAACATAAATAAACCATAATTAATTCAGTAGAACGAGATAGCTTAGCTAAAACTATCTTATGTCATTCAATAAGTCAACTAAATATATTCCAATACCAATGAGTATTAGCAAAAACTGACAAAAATGTTGCAGAATAACCAATTGGAATGTGACATTTACAAGTAAAACATAAAATGACAGAATTTTCAAAAAAAGAACAAAATATTTTCACTTGTCTATTTTATGTGTTCACTTCACAGTTTGCAAAATATCACAATCATTTGAAATAGTATCTGAATGGTATAACAGTGGTAATTGTATAGTGCATTGTGGAAATCTAAGAAATGTGAGAAATTATAATGTAGTGGACAAGAACACTAGTGGGGACAATCGAATGTATTTAGGCACAAATTATAAACTATCTCACTAAATTCTGATAACCATAAAGTCAACAGTTAATTTGCAATATAATAATCAATTGTCTCAATTTGACTGTTCCTTCTGAAAATATCTGTCCATAGTCTCCGATTATAATTGTTCATGCATTTCCGTACCAATTGCGTGCCGTTCCTGTTCTCTCCTTATCGATCTTCTACTGAAATACATTCAATGCCTGACCATCACCATATACTAATTATGTGGATATAAGTAGACCACACCATAGTAGCTTGTGTGAGTTCGGTTTTTCAGTTTACTCGATCATAATTTAGTCAAATGAAACGAGATAAATACCGTTTACTGTTAAATTTCTTATTTATGCACGTATAGATAAAAACTCTTGTAATTTTTACCATAAAAACTTGATGATTACAAAAATAACAACGAATCTACGGAGAATCTATGGTGTAACAATAAAAATCACTTCTTCAGTAACTACCTTAGTTAGTGCTTTCACCATCAGTTCAGTTCAATGAGGCTTTCAGACTGATTGTAAAACAGTGAGAGAGAACATCTGTCATAATATATAATAAAAATGATCCCGTCATTCTCTGTTTTAATAGCTAAAATGTTTCTTATATCCGTAAACAAATTTCCATATAATCACAGTATTAGAATTTTAATTTGTGTTATCCACTTAACGGATAATTTTTATTATTTATTTAAACACATAAATATTGGTACAAAGGGGTACCAGATATATATGCGCCGCACAAATCTCATTTGATTTGTGTCAGGGCTGTGATGCTGCTCAGGTGCCCAAATTGAATTTATTTATTTATTTATTTAAACACATATATATTGGTACAAAAGGGCACCAGGTACATATGCGCCACACAAAATAATGAAAGTAGGTAGATAAAGGATGAAAAGATAAGGCGGGCTGAAATGTACAACCAGAAGATTCTTTCAGTTAAGAAAGTTAGAACCATTCTTTATGTAGAAAGTAAAAGAAGGTTGCAGCAGGATCGCCACTGGCTTCTATTCTGAGCCATATCCGATAACGTCTCTAGCCACTGTGTTGCACTATCTCTCGGAACCCAACCAGGGAGTCGTGAAGGACCAACGGAAGCTAGCCCTTTGCAGCTCTCTTTCATGCCACGACACCATGTCATACACTGACCTCCTCTCCGCTTTCTCCAACCAGTCCCAGGGTCGGCAAATAATGCACGACTCGGAAGTCTCTGGGACGACATTCGTAAAACATGTCCGAGCCACCGAAGTCGGTGTTTCAAGATGGTGACACCAATTGAATTATCGTCTCTGCGCCCGAACACACGATGCCGAACCTCTGCATTACTAACATGGTGTTGCCACTGGATGTCAGCAATCCTTCGGAGACAACGATGATCGAACACAGAGAGACGTCTAACATCCTCAACTCGGAGAGTCCAGGTTTCAGAAGCATAGAGCAAAACTTCTCTCACCGACGTGTTGTAGATCCGACCTTTTACAGCCAGACTAACATCACGAAGGCGCCAAAGATGGCCCAGATTGGCATAAGCCGCTCTGGCTTTCATTATACGTGCATCAATCTCATCACTCACGCCACCACCAGCACTTGTATAGCTACCTAGATACACGAACTTCTCAACTACTTCGATCTGCTCACCATCCAGGGTGAGTACAGGATGAGAATCCTGCCAGTCTTGTAGAAGTACTTTGCACTTGGAGGGTGCAAAGCACATGCCGTACCTGCGGACACTGATTGCCAACTGATTAAGTGCTGATTGCATGCCTTGGGCATTATCGCACAGTAAGACAATATCATCCGCATACTCGAGGTCGAGAAGTCGTTCTCCAGGCAACATATCCACACCGCCATTACTTACATCCATCAGAGCTGTTTCTAGGATGTCGTCGATGGCAAAGTTGAAGAGGAATGGGGAGATCGGGCAACCCTGCCTAACCCCACTGCTCGAATGGAACAATGGAGAAAGGTGGTTGTATGCCCTCACTCTGCCTGAGGTGTTCGTGTACAGGGCCTTTAAGATGTTAATAAACTTCTCAGGCACACCCTTCTTCAATAGACAATCCCAGAGAACAGTCCTGTCCAACGAATCGAAGGCCGCCCTGATATCAAGAAACACTACGATTGTTGGCCTGCGATAAGTATGACGGTGTTCTAACATTTGGCGGAGGGTGAAGATGTGATCAATGCATCCTCGACCAGAACGAAAACCAGCCTGCTCCTCGCGAGTCAATCGTTCTCGGGTTTTAAACAACCTACGAAGAATGATAGAAGCCAATAGTTTGGACGCGATCGAAAGTAGACTTATCCCCCGGTAGTTATTGCAGGAACAACGTGAACCCTTTTTAAAGATAGGGACGACTATTGACTCATTCCAAGATGTTGGAACACTTTCTTGCTCCCAAACCTTTCCAAACAACGCAGTCAGTTCCTTAGCCAGAAAGTCACCACCATCTTTAAAAAGAGCCGGAGGTAAGTCATCTGGGCCAGGTGATTTATAACGTTTCAAGAGTTGGAGTTCCTTGCGGACTTCCGCCTCGTTTTGTGGATCAGTCGTCACCGGCCATGGGGAGCAGGACAAGCTGGTTGATGTTGCCGGAGCAGCAGGCCAGTTGAACTGCCCTTCGAAAAATTCCGCCCATCGTCCAAGACGTCGACAGATGTTAGTGATTGGCATCCCGTCATCCTCGTAGATTTTTTCACTCACACCAGACTTCTTGCTGCCAGTGGCTCGGATGAGTTGGAAGAGCTTCCGGCAGTTACCAGATGCAGCTGCTGCTTCCATCTCATTAGCACTCTCCGACCACCAGGCTTCCCGGTCCTTACACAAGCTTTGCCCGATTTCATTACGTAACAGCCTTCGTTTGTGGTCAAACTCACGGTCACCCGGAGTAGACCGACGGGCTTCCATCAGTTGTAAGGAGCCAGAAGAAACCCAGTGCTTGTAAGCGGGACGTTTCGCGAAGCCGCAAGCGGCTTTACTCGCCATTTTCATGGCGTCGTGAAGATGCAACCAATGCTCGTCTATACTTTTCGGTGGGGTGGTAGCTAGCCTAGAGGCTAGCTCAGCTCGATACTTACTTGCAACAGAAGTTGCAGCCAGTTTACTAATATCAATCCGTTGGTGGTGGTCAATCCTTCGGCCACTGAAAAGTAAGGTGAGATTGGCGCAGACCAGGGCATGATCAGACTCCAGATAGGTACTCCAAAAGGAGCGGCAGTCTTGTACACAACCACGCCAGTGGTAGCTGATCGCGATGTGATCAATCTGAGTCCAGGCTTGGGATGCAGAGGGAGGACGCCAGGTGGCACACCGGTGATGACTGTGCCGGAAGTTGGTGCTGGCCAGAAACAGGTTGTGGTCTGTGCACAGTTGCAGCAAACGGTCCCCGTTATCTGTCCGGCGACCAACAAGTCCCCATCGGCCACCTAAACGACTCTCTTCTGTGCCTAGACGCCCGACCTGTGCATTCAAGTCTCCGGCTAGTACTACAATATCTGTCGAACGCGCTTTCTGGAGAAGAACTGTTAACTGATGGTAAAACTCATCCTTGATTGCATCCGGGCTGCAATCTGTCGGGGCATAGGCGGAGATGACGAAAAGACACCGTTTCTCACGCCGATTTCTTCTCACTTTGATGGAACTTTCTAATCTAACAGCACATAACCGACTGTTAATGGGGATCCAATCGATTAGTGCTGCTTCAGTTCTAGCGCTTAGTGCGACACCAAAGCCAGCAAGACCAGACGAGGATCACACAGGGTCCCCGGATAAGCGCACGTGGAACAAGCTTTTCGAGGCGACAGATGGAGAGCGGATTTGTAGTACTTCACTAGAGTCTTGAATACGGGTCTCGGATAGACAACAAACGTCAA